TTATGCCTCCATGCCGGCGATAGCCACGGCCGAAGGGATTGTTTTTTCAGGTTGTCCATCTATCCATCCCTCCCTCCCATTCTTGTGAAAGCGATATCTCAGGAACCCCTTGAGGGAATTTCTTCAAATTTGGCACAAGTGTCCATTTGGACTCAGAGATAAACTGATTAGATTTTGGTAGTCAAAGGTCAAGATCAGTGACCTCACCTCTGTCCCATACCCATGGATCTAACTTGTTGGCAAAGGCATACAACGAAGCAATAATTCTAGTTAATAAGGTGTTTAATATATGGAGGCAATAAATAAATGAAGACATGATAATATGACATGTAAACATTACACCACAAGTAATACAAAAATATAGAGCAGGTACCTTTTATTGTATCCCGTATACTGTCAAAGATGGCACAGAGCACGTCCTGGATGTAGCCCACTATTCCATTCACAAAGTCATTAGTAGCACTGAAGGCGTTTCTGCCAATAACTACTGGGTCAATGAAGCTAATGTCAGTGACTCCTGCGAAGAACAGCATGCATGCAGGCCAATTATTGAATGTTTTTGTTATGTAAACATTAGAAATGACAGTACAAAATGTACAAAATGCAGTACAAAAATATAGAGCAGGTACCTTTTTTTATATCCAGTATCCTGTCAAAGATGGCACAGAGCACGTCCTGGATGTAGCCCACTATTCCATTCACAAAGTCATTAGTAGCACTGAAGGCATTTCTGCCGATAACTACTGGGTCCATAAAGCTAATGTCAGTGGTTCCTGCGAAAAATAACAAAATAATGAAATACGCAGATATATATAAAGGCATTATTGTAAATTGTGTTAAATGGTCATTTTAAGATGATAAGAGGTTACAAACCAATGTTAAATGAGATGAGTAAATACCTTTCACTACATCCAGAACAGTGTCCACAATGGCACAGAGCACATCCTGGATATAGCCCCCCACTCCATGCATGAACTCATTAGTAACACTGAAGACACCTCTGCCTATGACCACAGGGTCAATGTAGCTAAGGTCAATTTTTCCTGAGAGAAACAAGGACATTTGTGAGGTAAAAATTCAAGTGACTTAATCAAAATATCACCCAGACAGTTAAAAGACAGGGATTATTAAGGTTTTACTGAAATTAATCAGAAGATTGGTACTTATTATGGAGACATGCTCACATAATTGTCATCTTTAGGTCATTTACTCGTGTGTGAAAGGGGAAAGGTAAACTTTATAGTCAGAAATAGGTATAAAAATATGGCACCATACCTTTATTTATGTCCTGTATAGTCTCCAATACAGTATCGACAATAGCACACAGCGTGTCCCTGATGGAGCCCACCGCTCCACCCATGAAGTCATTACTTGAATGGAACACTCGTCTACCAATGACCACAGGGTCAACATAGCTGAGGTAGAAGTTTCCTGTGGTTTGGAGGGAGACCGTTAGAAATACAATGACATTGCATGTATGCTATAATGATGCCAACTGTTTTGAGTGTGTTTTTATACCCTCCTCATCGGAAAAATATTGCACAAATCCATCTTTTGCTTCCGATATTTCCTCAGCTGCATAAATGGCAGTGGACATGGGTTCACTTAAATCAGGTGCACATTCTGAGGACCCAGAAGAGATAGTCATATACTCCAATACTTACTATTAAACATAAAAGAGTGTGACATACATGCGCTCTCCCATGTACCTTGAAACTTAATGAGGAGACTGGATACTTCATCAACAGCGTCGTTTACAGCTTGAACAGGGTGCGCAATGATTTGGTGAACGTCTGAAAACAAACAAACTTACAGATAAATCTTGCCGCCTGATGACTGACTAAAAAAGCAAAGTTTGCAGGTATTTGCATGGACAGATTATGAGAAAGTAGGGCCCTGGGCACAGAAAGGTAACTCCACCCCCTTCTATACAATATAGGAGCAGCAGTCTTTATAGTTGCTCTGTCTGTCTTTACGATAGTCTTGCATCTCTTTGTGATTGTTTAGTGTCTTTTTTTTTGGTAGTTTTGTATTCTCTGCAGTGACTTAGTTTCTCTTTATGGTGAGTTTTTCTCTCTTTGCATTTGACTTGGATCTCTTTGGGATGGTTTTGAATCTCTTTGTGGTCATTTTTAATCAGTTTGTCGTCATTTTTCATCTATTTGTAGTCTGAGTTCCATGATTTACAAAAAGAAATATTAACTGTCACTTCACACAAACGGTCAGGCCCAGGCCCCTGGGCCTGTGCCAGGTAGGCTCATTCAGTAATCAATCCATGGGTATTTATTTGAGACTAACCAGGGACTGTCTTGTACTCCACAAAGTTAAACATCACCACTCCAACAACCAGCCAGGACAGCAGAGCAACCAGTGCAATCAGCAGTTCCACAGACACCTTTAGCTTCTTCAGGAGCCCCAGACCTTTGGACTTAAGAGAACCCATCTGTGCTGCTCCATGAGACCCACTGGCTGCAGAGGAGCCGGCGGACCTGGCTCCTATATGTGGGGAAAAAAAAGTCAAACAAAAAAAACAACCTGAAAACAAAACTTAGTTTTTCTTTCTTTCCCCCCATGACTCATCTTATCCCCCTCAAATTGATCGTTACCCTTTGGAGGGGTCAAGCCCCTATGTTGGGAACCACTGAACTAAATGACCTAATTGTACTGGATCAGCTAAAAACAATAAAATGTTACTGCTACACCAGCATAAACAATTATTTCTAATATCAGTAATGGGGATGATTTTACTGCAGAGCCAGTACTTTCGATGCTTTAAGTACAATTAGCTAATAACACTTTTATCTAAATTAAAGCACTAAAACACTACAGTAAAGAATCTGACTACTTGTTCCACCATGGCTGGAAACCCAGAGGTCAGCCCCAGCAGCAGCCGTGCCTGTCACAGGACAGCTATGCCAATACTGTCGCTACATGATATCCTGTATTTATAGCAATTGACTTTCAACACATTTTCCTGAGATGACACTCCCTATGAAAACAGTCATTTATTTAATACACATATTACTGAGGATTTTTGCATTGTAGCAGGCAGTTAAGTGCTGTTAATTTCTCCAACAGTGAATAGAGGCATAAGTCCTACCTTCAGCCATGGTGATATGGAGAAGATTTCAGGTGTATTCCTTCAAGCTGGGGGCAAAGCCTCCTCATGCAGGACTGACTGGAAAAAATCTGAGCTTCAGTATAAATCCAATCAGAATTCACTTGTCAATCACAACAAAGTGCCACAGTTAGTAAATGATTCCATTTCCACTTGGTGATCACAGTCTTGTTTCCTGATCCATGTAATCCACAGGTTGACCTTCTCCCAAGATAAAAAATGAAAAAAAAATCAAATCTAAAATACACGTTTATAAGTGAGGGGGACTTTCGGCTGCCAGTGTGGCAGCATTTCATTGGGAGCTCTGGGGCCGGGCAGCCAAAGGAAAGCAATGTGGGGGGATGAAAGAGCCAAGCTAAGCATAGGGTAGGCTAGGTTGAGGAGGAACAGACAGAATACCCCACCCCGTGTTATTGGTGCCTCACATGGGTATAGGTCAAAGCACAGCACAGGGAGGCTTCAAGGAAACTTTATCCCCCCAGAAGGTCCGGGTTATTCTTAGCTGGAGCTCTGCACACCAGACACCCTGGCAGGCCTTTTTTGGCAGTTGAAGGGGTGTGAATAATATCAAATGGCTGACTTGGATAACCCTACTGGTGGGGCACTAAATTCTGCCCACCAAACCGAAACAAATCACTGGCCCAAGTTGAGTGGACATAACAGGATTTCAACATCCAGCAGTACAGTCACTATGCTCATATGTATGATGTCTTCCTGTCATTGCCACTGGTGCTCATGAAGGTGACTATTTTATTTAACACTTATCCAATTAGAGCCAAGAAAGTAGTGTTTGTGTTACTCATCCAGATCACACAAGGAAGTTAAGCTATAGGTTGCATAAAAGTAACAATGAAAAGTCTTTTTAAAAGACTTGTTAAATGATTTAAGAAGAAATATTATTCAGCTGTATAAGTAATACCTCTCCTTGAATCGCCACCTTAACGTGGTGGAGAGGTTTGTGTGTCCCAGTGATCCTGGGAACTGTGTCGTCTGGGGCATTAGCCATGGCAAATTGGTTCCAGGGGAGGGGCCAGACAGAGCGATTCAAAAAACCTCGATGAAAATGGCAACTTCGAGTCACACTACCTCACCCAGGTTAGGGAAACCAGGGAACTCTGCTGGAGCCAGACCTGGGATGGGAGCTAACCTGCAAGTGTCTGGTGGTCAGGCACAACTGGAAGGAAAAACATGGTGCCACCTGAGAACCTGCTGGTGGACACCAGCGGTGAAGGAAGCCATCAGGCTGAAGGAGGCGGCCTACAGGGGCTTGGCTGGCTCAAGGGTCTCCGGAAGAAGCTAATGGGTACCAGCAGGCCAAAAGGACTGCAGCTTAGATGGTTACAGATGCAAAAGCTTGGTTATTGGAGGAGTTTGGTGAGGATATGGAGAAGGATTTCAACTGGCCTCAAGTAAGTTCTGGCAACTGTCTGACAACTCAGAAAGGGAAAGCAGGGTTTGGCCCACGCTATGTTTGGCTGCTGACTCACACTGGGGATATTGTCGGGCAGTGGAAGGCACTTTGCTGAACTCCTGAACCTGTCTAACATGCCCTCCAAGGCAGAAGTCTGCCAGGGAAAACCTCACCCATATCCCTGGCAGAGGTCACTGAACTAGCCAAAAAGCTCAGGGCGTCAGGGGTGGATGAGATTCGCCCTGGTAATGTACAGTCTCTGGACAAGCTAGCCATGAGAAAATCTTTAAAAACCAGTAACTGACAAGTGTCTATCCAGTGACTTAGCAGCTATTATAATGATGATGTTTATTTCAAAACCAGCTGTGTACAAGTAACAGACAATAAATAATGTGGAGACCAAAACATTTTTGTATATCTACTGAAAACGGGTAAACAAAGTGATACATTTTGTATATCTACTGAAAACGGGTAAAGTGATACAAAATCTAGTTTTTGCTCACTTTTGCACCCATGAAAAGCAACATAAATACACAGAGTGTATTGTCCTTGAATGCACACTCACCTGCACATATACAGAGTTTGATAAAATGTTGCCCAGAGCTCCAGATTTCTCTCAAAAAAATTAAAAAAAAACTGGTTGAAATGTTGAGCAAATAAATCAATGAAATAAACATGTCTGGTCTTGTAAACATGTTTTTCCCCAGTACACATTATGGAGGGACAAACAAGTAACGCATCCTTCATTCCTGTCATGTCAGTTTGTTTGTTTAGCTGCTGAAGCGAAGAAATGCACAATTCTTACACAGCCCGCTGCCATACAGTAATGCAACATACATTTTAAAATATCATCAGTATAATAAGCAGTCAGTTAAACAGTGCTGCAGTTGGAAAGGAGGTTGAGCCCCTTGTCAACTACAAGAAGCTGAACTAAAAGTCACTTTAAGCTGATCTAAAAGTCATTGGCTGAAGCTGAAATGCAGTGAATGCACTTATCAGTGCAGATGCCATACAAGTTTGGGCGGAATAGTCCATGATACACTAAGTTAGTTTGTGGAAAGCGTGAAACATTCCCTTACATTATAAGAATATTACTAAACATAAAAAGGCAAGAACAGGTGTTATCATACAGCTAAGTTCCTTGAGAAGAGGAGAGTAGTATCATTATTTTACCCTCATTAAAAAAAACAAAAGGTCGGTAGACTTCAGAAACATTTCTGAGCTATCTCAGTCCATGATGTCCCACTATTTCCATTCCTACAATTAATATGTCAATTTGTTACCAACAGTCAGCCTCACGTCTGTATGAGCAATGTATCCAAAATAATTTTAAACCTTAGATAAAAACAAAAAAAAAGCCAAATATCAAAAGTAATATAAATGAACCAAAAGATAAGTAAACAAGCTAAATATATTTACACTACATACAAGTTACACAACTCATCTCAGTCATCCATGGCACTCATTTGTAACTTTTCAAACATCTCAAACACCCTCTCCTGCCTCCAAAACATCCTCTGATTTGACAAAGCAGCCGTCAGTCCCTGAATGTATGAAGCTTGGAAGTCAAGAAGTCAGTTGATGAGCTCTTAGGATTATTAGAGTCACAGGATGAGAGAGAGAATAGGTGGGGTCTGCCTCCCTCTAGTGGACAGCCAGTGGAATGACATGAGATGAGGGCAACGGTGCTCAGAGATTATCCCCTGGTTGGTACTGAGGCTCAGTGGCAGTGAAGTAGTCCTCCAAAAAGGCCTGCAGGTACTCAAAGGTGGGCCTCTCCTCTGGGTCTTTCTTCCAGCACTGCACCATCAGCTCATGCAGTGAAGATGGGCAGTCCTGCGGGCATGGCATCCGGTAACCTCGCTCCACCTGCTCCAGCACCTCGCGGTTGTTCATGCCTGGACAGAGGAAAATGAATGAAGGCAAATGTAGTTAAAATATCTTTAGTAGTTTTAAAAACTAGTGCCTTGACAAACATACTGTTGCTTCTGATCTCTGATAACCAGCTAATATTTATTAATATAAATACAGTAGCCCGTCTCTCTCCAAAGAGGTGACCTAAATGTTAAACTTCTCAGCTCATGGGGGAGAAGATATTCACAGCGAGTTTGTCTGGAACCTTCTCCTGACTGGCCAATAAGTGCAACTCACATGAAAATGACCATTATGCAGAATATAGAAAGAGTTGATTTTTATTTAATTATTGAAAGTTTACTTGTTTAGGGAAAGTATAAAGCATGAAGTAATGCCACATACCATAGCATACATAATTTATACATAAATTAAGGAATATACACACACACAACATGGATATAAAACAGTATTTGGCACCTCAGCTCTGATTACATCACTCCCGTCAAGGATACACCAAACTCTGCACAGCACAGTTTGGGGAGTGACAACACTGACTTACTAACTTTTTTTTTTTCCTCCTGTGATATGGAAGTAAATCCCTGCCATAATGTTTGAGGGCGCACAAACCACATTTCCAGCACTACTCAGGTTGTCATTCTGCTCTTGCAAATCTGTGCTTGTGCGCTCTCATATTCTGATGTGCAATCTGAAGAGCACCCACAGCTTGTTTTGTGCGTTTCTAAAATGTCTGGCACAGACTTTCACACAAACTCCAGTGGGAAAATCTGAGAGCACAGACTGAGAAACCAGATTTTGCTCTCAAATCAGATCTGCGCTTACAAATATCTGCCTGCGTGCTCTCAAATGCTCTGTTGCAAACTGAATAGCACTGGAGATGCGGTTCATGGTCCCTCAAACATTTTGGCAGGGATTTACTTCCATATTGTAACAAGTCAAAAGGCCTGTTCCTGTTTTAATATTGTAATATTTCCAATTTCTACTTGTAGCTTCACACAAACATAGTTTTCACATATACACTTTGTCTAATCAGCCAAGCTTAGACTTATTTTATGTGTGTGGGTTGGCACTTCATTTCAAGTTGTATGATTTCAGAAGATGCTTAAACTCGAAGCACGAGTAAGCTTGTAGTCAGGATCCTACAGAAACATGAAAGATTCTCTTTTACAATGCCAGGAAATTAACTTTTCTTCTGCTAATCTTCAACTCTGGATGCATAAATGCCTAAAATACAATACAAAAATGTGTATGGCAGATAGGAATACAGAAACATTTCACAACATCAGCTGGGAACAATGCATAAATCAAAACACGAGCAATCGACTGGAACTGAGAAGTGATTACAGAACCCACAGAGCTGAACCTTCTCACCTGGATAGGGCACCCTGCCCTTGGTCACCAGCTCTGTCAGCAGGATGCCAAATGACCACACATCTGACTTGATGGTGAATTTCCCGTAAAGAGCAGCCTCAGGAGCAGTCCACTTTATTGGAAACTTCGCACCTAAAAGAAATTCAGAAACGACACTGACATTGTTATTTTAATGTTTGTGGTTTCAGCAAAAATACAGAGAGAAGCACAAGAAACAGCCCAAAACCTAAGGCATAAGTAGGTTAGTCTTCTTTGTACAGATTTGTTTCATTATCAGTGCCGAAATATCAAGACATAACATCCAACCAGGAAAAAAAAGGAACAGTTCCATTATCTCTGGCTCAGTTTTCTTTGCCCATGGCAAACAATTAAACATTTAAATAGCTAACCAACGAGTGACTGAACACGTTGACCGAGTGACCAACAGTGTCTTCCTGGTGTAGTTCATGTCTGCCAGCGCAGACGCAGGGCAGTAACGTGCTCTGTTGTCACTGTGCCGTGGTGTAACCACAGTTTATTGAGGCATTTACAAAAAGTCGGTGCACCCCAGTTCAGTAGGCCTACCTTGCCTTGCTGTATATTCATTGTCTTCGATGAGTCTGGCCAGACCAAAGTCAGCGATTTTACAGACCAGGCTATCTCCGACTAGGATGTTGGCCGAGCGCAGGTCTCTGTGGATGTAGTTCATCCTCTCAATGTACGCCATGCCCGCTGCCACCTGGAAAGTAAGTTATCTTTGTCCACCAAACATCGTAGCACTGAACAGTTTCAAGGTGATTAAATCTGTGCTAAACAAGACCTGTATGTACATTTACAGCCATTTTATCACCTTAAAAAGATGCAGCTGCAATAGAAAAGTACAAACTGCAGCAAGTGAATGAATCCAACCACAATCACAAAATTTGATATACTCTTGTCTGCTTGGTCTTAGTAAAAGCAATCACCAGCTTGGTAAACAACAATGTGCTACCTGCGCTTTATGTGTACTAGTTCAATGTTTTCAAATTGTGCCCTTTTGGTCTGCTGAAGTGGGAAACTGCCTCATTAAAATGTAAACCCTGGCATAACATCAAAATGAAAAGTGCTGTAAATATGAGCCACTGAGGTTAAATGAATGAGTAACAGCTGGAGATGATCAGAGTGAATTTAGACTCTTAAGAAAAAAACAAAAACAAAACTCTTTTTGAGCCCTTTGGTAATAACAGCATCAAGATTCTGGATCATATTCATTGGCGCACCTGAGCCGCCATGTCCACCAAATTTGGCAGCTTGAGGCCTCGTCCTTCTCCGTCCTTAAGGAAATCAAGCAAACTCCCTAAAAAAATATTTAAAAAAACAAGTTAGGATCTGCTGTATGGTTTTGTCTTCTGCTCCACCAAGCAAATAAGATTTGGATCAAATCTGAAGCAACATGTTGTAGTTAAGGTGACATCACTTCTGGGACTCCTGCCACACATCTTACACTTGGCTCAGACTGTTATTTGTTAGTTATTGCTGTGGTAACTGAGGGTCTTGGGGTTTTACAAGCATTGTTTGTATCACACTGTGTTTACTCTCCATGCAGATACATACAGTATATGTGTATTATGCACACACTGCAAAAGGTGTGAGCATGAATGTAATAATCTTTTTAAGAGTCAGTTTAAAAACAGCATCTACCTTTGCTCATGTACTCAGTGACGATATAGATGGGTTCTTCAGACACCACAGCGTAGAGCTGCACCAGTTTGTCATGTCGGAGTTTCTTCATGATCTGAGCCTCCTCCAGGAAGGACTCGGGTGACATGGTGCCAGGCTTCAGAGTCTTCACCGCCACCTTTGTGGTGCCATTCCACGTGCCTAGCAGGAAAGGGGAGTTTGTTTA